AATAATGTAATGATGATACATTACTTTAAAAATATTATTAAATATTAATAAATAATTAATTAATTAAAAAAATGTTTGGTTGTACCATCTATAATGTACAAAATTACACTGACAGCAAGTGGTTCCTTTAGTTTAGGTGACAGATCAGATAAAACACCTTTCGATGCAAAATAAATAAAATAATAAATAAATATAAAAAAAACAAATAAAATATGTAATAATAATAATAAATTATTTAATATGATTAAATTTATATTTAATAATAATACTAAATAAACTAAATAAATAAAACAAACAAACTTACGCATTTATCTTACCTTAAAAAGAACATACAATTCTTCCAACTCCTCAATACTGAAAGCAGACTCTGTCATGATCGCTCTCACCTAAATATTACACAATAAAGCATAAATGATCACATGTGGAGATTTTAAATTGTGAAATAAGACCTTTTGATGAACACACTTACCACACTCCTCTTGGCTGTGTCTTCTAGTGACTGTATGACCTTTAACCTTTGTTTGAACCTCATCTGCTCGATGACATCGGCACGCAGGCTTCCAAACTTCTACAAAAACAACGTACGCAGTTAAAAAGGATCATATTGGCATTGGTGCTCCTCCAGGTCCCTCTTGCTCCGCCCCTCACCTCATAGGACGCTTTAATGAGCTCAAAGACATCAATCTCAGGCGGAGGGTTGTTGCCACTGGTCAACAGGGCATGAAGGTGGGGAATGGGTGGAGAAACGGTCTGCTTATTTACAACATTATCCAAATATCTGCAGGACCGAGAAACAGATATCAGAGCACAAACCTTATTTAGTGCATCTTCTCAAAGCTCAGACAGTAGAAAGGGGATAAAAAACTTAACCCTGTAAAGCCTAAAGTTTGCCTTTTTTTTTTTTTTTAAGTAACATATCTGGTCAATTAGGGTTTTATGGCTCAGTCTGATAGTGAGAATATGGAGAAAAAACAGCTCAATCTTATTCATAGACCCAAAATGAGCAAAAAAAATTTTATATTTATATGACCAAAAAGTAAGATGAAATTCTGATGCTTGTAATGTAAATCAATGAGATCTTTATAACAGTATAGATAAATGATATAAATATCAGTCATCAATCAATATCTCCAATAATGTGTCTTAGTAAGATGATATTTAAATGCTTAGTTTGATTATCAAAACATAATGCAAAGCAATACAATGACGATTGAGAGATGAACATATAAACGTTTCTCAAAAGCCTGATGATTATATTTGATACTGCCTTTTAAAAAAAAATGATGTTTGGATAATAAAAGCTATAATCACTTCAGTCCAGTAAATGTTCTGAACTATCAATCAGACGACAGAAGGCCTGTAGTAGATTGTGTGTGACAGCTTTTTCAGCAAAGTTTTGATCATGTTGATCATTTAAGATACTTTTTTTGTGTATCAAATATTATACAGTAGGCTTTATAGGGTTAAAACTGAATCTAAAAGAAAAAAACACATTAATTGCTTTGGGCAAATACCATCTAAAAACTCAAAAATTAATACTGCCTTCACTCTTTAGTCGTCATGTAAACTATGAACTGTATGATGTTGTATTAGGCACACTCACCTGCCCAGAATAGTCATGGCCTCTCCCTCATCTGAACAGGACAGCAGCTGATCCATGTTTGCATGTAGCACAGCTAATGCCACCTGGAGAAGAGTGACAGACACATTTACATGTCACAGACACTGTCTGAGTGCTTATGTTCTTTGGGAAATGTTGCTTTAAAAAAACACATATATAAACACACATAAATAAGGGCTGTCAAGTGATTACATTTTTAATCTAATTACATAATGTGGCGATCTAATCAAATCGATCAAATGAATCACACATCAATTTGGCAGAGAAATTCAGGTCTGGGCCAGGCGGGTGCACTAAATGCTTTTATCATTTTAATGCATTAATTTTCCATAAGTAACCACACAAAATTAACATTTGCTGTTTGCATGATGAAAACTTATGCTGTGAATATTTTGCAGGCAAAATTGTCCAAGTGTTGTATGCATGCAAAACCCTCAGAAACTTCATCAGTATGTGATGCAGCACCTGGAAAATGACTTTAATGCCCTCGTAGAAGAAGCAGTCGACCAGCAGCACCGCACTGTCGAAAGGCATGACGGACAGGAAGAGTGTGAGAAACCAGGACAGAGAGATGGTGGAGATGACGCCCAAATCCTGCATGTGCTCGTACAACAGCGGCAAACACTCGCGGGTGAGCTCCTCAAACACACCCTGATCCACCAGCGCTCCTGCCACAGATCAGAAAATACTGGTGAGCATAAAGTCACATCTGACAGGTTACAACTTTCATCATGTGTTTATATTTGCGAGACTGACCTACAACTCTAGTGTTGTAATAGTCGGGCAGCATCCGTTCACACAGCGCCACAAGCAGCCAGAACGCCTCCTCTTCAGTACAATACAACAACAACACGGACGTAACGATGTTCATCGCCTGGAGAGAGAGACGAAGCAAATCAATGTTAAACAGCAGCTCTCGTATCACTTCTCCACAGACAGACACTGTGCCAGAGCCCTGCCGCTCTCAAACCAGGAAGCACTCAAGTCTGAGATAATGTACTTATATAATGTACTTAACATGCACAGATTGCAAAACAAACAACATCATAAATATGCAAGACAAAAAAATAAGTAAATAATTCACACAAAACTAGATTCCTCCCATTACAAAGAAAAAACTAATGTGGCACGTTGCAATGGCTGACAATCACCATGTTCCTGTTTTTGATGTGCTGCAAAGAGTCTGTCAGAAAGGATGCTCTGATTTATAAGGGCAGTAAGAATTTTACTTATAATTACATGTGTAAATTGATTACTATAAATTTTTACTTATATACATTGGTATACATTTAAGTCATTTGACTGTTAAATTAAATCCCAGTGATAGCATAAAAATGCTGAGTTAAATTACTTTCAATTTTATTTTACTTTTAATTTACCATCTACCTCAAGGACTGTTAAATGCCCCCAAATTCTCCAATAAAAACCAATGTGCAATAAACACCATGGGCAATACGCAATTCACTATTTATATTCATATTTAACATTTATACATTGGTATACATTTAAGTCATTTGACTGTTAAATTAAATCCCAGTGATAGCATAAAAATGCTGTTAAATTACTTTCAATTTTATTTTACTTTTAATTTACCATCTACCTCAAGGACTGTTAAATGCCCCCAAATTCTCCAATAAAAACCAATGTGCAATAAACACCATGGGCAATACGCAATTCACTATTTATATTCATATTTAACATTTATTTATACTTCTTCTCTGCCTTGCCAAACTGTAGCTGTACAAGCTCTATATTGTCTATTGTGTACGTAAGTTATGTAAGTTGTTTGTCTTTTGTGTGTGTGTGTGTATGTATGTATGTATATATATATATATATACACACACGCTATACATATATATTATATATAAATCTTATGCTGTTGTTTTTTTCTTGGCTTCTTCTGCCACCAAGACAAGCGTATAGGCCAAAGCAATTCTCAATGTGATTATTTTGATTTTATAATATGATCTCAAATCTAGAAAGACAACAAGACAACATGTCCAGACCAAGAATAACACAAAACACAAACCCATAAATCAATCGTGACAAGACATTTTGTTGTTCACATGGTTTCATGGTCACACTAGGTAGTTCGGGCCACAATAAAATCTCATTGGTTCAAATGGTCATAACTCCACACAGAGCAGCAAAGAGTAAACCAATGGTATTCATAGATAAGTGTGGGTTAAGTTTCCAAATACTTTTTGGGCTGACTGTAGCTGTATACTCAACATCAGAGTGATGTGTGTGTACCTGGCAGTATCCGATGCTGGGGTTTCTGTAAGCGTAGGCGGTCAGGACGCGTCTCAGGGCAGCGATGCCCATCTCGTTCTGGAAGGCGTGATGTTCAGGCATGGAGCGGTGCAGGTCTCTCTCAATCTCCTCCGTCGCTAGAGTACATTTACCCATCGCCTGCTCAACCAAACTGCCATAGTAACCCGGGTGTGTAGCCATCTCATTCTGACCACCTGAAAAATAGCAGGGTTTAAAAGTCATGTGATGGTAATGAGGAGCAGAGCAGCTCCATGACAACAACTGATGGTCTGTTTTACTCTGACAGTGTGTGAGATCTCACACAGATGTGTAAACATGACGGTCACACACATGCAGCGGAAGTCAACACACATCCACACGCACCCACACACACACACACACACACACACACACACACACGAAGACAAGCATACTAATACTCATGTTAACTGTGCACAGTACGCAAATGTTCTTTATGCACTGCACCCCCAAGTGATGTACTGCATTTGCTGAAATGTGCAGGATATAAACAGTGCACACAAAGCAGTTTTTTTAATGGTGACCTGCTAAGGGACTGCAGATGAAAATATAGTCTCTAGCTAACTATTGGCTAATTCTGGTAAACAGCATCAAATGGAAACATTTACGTTTAATTTTTTACATGGTCCCTTCCAAATAAATAAATACAATTACAATGTGACAAATGAATCTGAATAAACTCAACTTTTAACATCTTTTTCTAGACAAAATGGATGAAAAATGCAAAATTACAATATTTCAATTTGAATCAAAATACAAAACAAACATGTGACTGGAATGTCGTACTTGTCTTGTCACTGGTAGCTAAAAAAAACAAACTATTTTTATTTTTGTTAACTGAAACAAAAATGAAATAAAATAAAATTAGAAAAAAGGTAGACAAAAATATTTTAAAGAAATATTGCCTTGACAACTAACTGAAATAAAATAAGTTTAAGTTGAAATTACTAAAACAAACTGGAAAAAAATTGAAAGAGTTAAATAGAAAACATTGTTTATTGAAATAACTTTTAAACATAAATATAAAAAAAAAAAAAACCTACCAAAATTACTAAAATAAAAAAAATGAAAACTTATACTTAAAAGCTTATATGTATGACTGTGATCTTAAAAAAAAATCTAAAATCAAACGCATTTTACAAATAAGTAAAATGACCAATAAGTGAAGCTTGCCAATAAAACATGTGAAATAAGATAGAATTCAAAATATTAATAAATATTATAATTGTATAAAACACTGTGTAGCACATTATTGTTTGAAATGACTGTTGTATATTGCATACACTTTTTAAAACACAAATCTATATGCAGCATGCATTATGTACTGTGCTGATTGCAGTATACTAGTATTCCAATCCAAACACGCACACTTTGATTCTTTGCAGTTGAGGACAGAACAGAAAACCTTCTGAAACCCACTGTCAGTGGTCTTGGTGAGCAGCGCCCCTGGTGCTTGGAGGACTCATTACCTGAGAACAGCAGCCACAGTTCTCCTCTCAAACTCTCTGGTATCCCGTTCAGAACCAGCTCTCTGCTCTTAGATGTGCGGTACATACACACTCCGCGGCCAAACTCAAAGAAATGGATGTTCCATGATTCCTCTTTCATCTTCTCTCTCGTCTGGAGGAGGAGAAAGAGCAAGGGCAACATAAAACCAAGGAAACACCAGGCAACTAATGTCTTACATAGTAGTGATAGTTTAAATTACATCTTCTGTCTGTTTGGAACAGTGTTAATTTAGTATCATTGATATGTTATTATAGTTTTGTTACTGTTTTCACTTTCATTTTAGTTAAAGTTTTAGCAACTTTTTTTTAAATTTTTTATTAAAATTTTATTTCCTTTTTTATTATTTTAATACGATTTTATACATGTCTACAGTATTTATTAATTTTTATTTATTAGTTTTAGTTTATTTAGTTTTAGTTATTTTAATACTTTAAACGGAAATGTTGCCTTGGCAACTAGCTGAAATAAAACATGTTTGATTTTATATTTTATTCTATTTCGGTTGAAAATTATTTTATTTCAAGTAACAAAATATTTTTATTTTTTATTTTTTAGTTAACAATAATAACATTTGTCTGTGTCAGCAAGTTCCTGTTTGTTTGTTTAAAAATGTTGACTTTTATCCAGCAAGAACACATTAAATTGCTGCATAGCTGTGTAATAATCAAATAAAGTGACTTTAAAATCCTTTTATGCATAATTGTTTAAACCACTTCACATGGGGGCTGATGGACGTGAGAGGGGTGTGTCTCACCACTTTGGGCCCCAGCTCCTCCGGGACGTCCTGCTGGTAGATTTGCAGCAGGCCCTTCTTGGCAGTGGGCAGATTGGGGCTGTAGTGTTGGTTTTGGGGCATCTCTCCGAGCCCCAGGACAGGAGGGGACGGGGGCAGAGAGGGTGGCGTACTCGGGCTGGGATTCTCCTGAAAGCAATGACAAATGTGGAAACGAGTTACACTACAATGGGGCAAAAGTCTGTAAGCATGAAAAAGTAAATACTCTAGTTAACAAGTTTAAGGTCAGTAACACTTTTGTTTTTGAACTAAATTAATACTTTTATTTAGCAAGGATGCATTAAATTGATTAAAAGTGACAGTAAATACTTTTATAATGTTATGACAGTTTTCTATTTCAGATAAATGCTGTTTTGAACTTTCTATTCATCAAAGAATCCTGAAAAATAAAATCGAATACAGTTTCCCACAAAAATATTAAGCAGCACAACTGTTTTCATCATTGATAATAATCAGAAATGTTTCTTGAGCAGCAAACCAGCATATTAGAATGATTTCTGAAGGATCAGGTGACACTGAAGACTGGATTAATGATGCTGAAAATTTAATTATTTTAAGAAATAAATCACATTTTACAATATATTCACATAGAAAACAGTTCTTTGAAATAGTAATAATATTTCACAATATTACTGTTTTTAATATTAAAATAATATAAAAAAATCATACTGATCCCAAACGTTTGATCAACAGTGTATATAAAATTGAAATACTATACTATTCTGATCAATTCTGACTCACAGATTGCGTGATCAGGCCACATGGCCTGTCAGGCGTGCGCTGCAGGAAGTCAGAGATGCGCTGTACCAGGAAGTCACGGTCTTTGAGGTTGGCAAACAGGAAGGTCATCTTGTTTTTAGTGCTGATCGACAGTGGACTCGGCAAAACACTGCTGCTGTCCGCTTTCTCCACTATAGTCACCTACGGAGAGAAAATGAGAGAGAGGAAGTGTCTGTCAAGCTGTTGTGACTATAGGTGTGTGTGTGTGTGTGTGTTTGCTTGTTTGTTTGTGTTTAACACTATGGCAGCTTCTGTGGCTGTTTTCATGGTGAGAAAAATGTATGGCTAAATTATATCAGGTTTTTACAATTTATTTTCACTAAAAACTCTAAAACTGTATTTGACTTAACTCTGTTAAAAATCTCTTCAAAAGAGTTAACTGAATAAAAAAAAAAGTCTTCTCACAGGGTTAAAACCAGCACAATCTAATAAAACATGCTTCAGGGACAGTGAAACCAGCACAATCTAATAAAACATGCTTGAGGGACAGTGTGCGTGTGTATGTGCATTTACCTCTCTCAGTGGAATGATAAGTTGACACAGATCTTCCTCTCGACTTGCAAAGCAGATGTAGTTATTAGAAACAAACATTTGGCCGACGACATGCATCTTAGCGAATGGTGTCCAGAGCGTACAGTCGGTGTGTCCATCCAAACGCTCGTCCTGTGTGAGCCGGAATAGCGCTCTGTACCGCTCATTCTTTGCACGTGCGTCCAAGTCCCTGAAACATGTGAAAAGAAACTCAACTTGTAGTGATGGTAGCTACTGTTTAACTACTTTAAGTTATTAACCAACATCTATTTACTTATACTGACCCCTTAAAAAGGTGTATTACACAAAATAAAACCAGACAATTCTGACAAACAGGACATTCTGTTTATACAATGAAATTCAAGACCTGGTCAAACATGCAAACTTCATCTCATCAGACCAGGATCACATGCAGTCTGCTCACCTCTTGAGTGCAGAGACGTTTTTCAGGGTCTTGCAGGGTTTGGGGAGCGAGCGATCGGCGGAGAAGCTCTCGTTGTCCAGCAGCTGTCTCATGGCGATGTTGGCCAGCTGCTCCATCAGTTTGAAGGTCTCGTTGATGTTGAGGAACATGGAGAAGAAGTGCTCGGTGTCACGTGTGCTCACGCGGATGCTCTCGGGGAAAACCAGCGTGGCGTTCTTGTCCAACTGCGTGACGTCCGTCCACTGCACCACCAGCGAAACTACACGGACAGGAGATGAAAATAAAGATGAAAAAGATTTAGTAAGTCCAAATGAAAAACAAGAAAGAGGAAGAACAGATTTCATTAAGCACGGTGGAAGAAAAGAAGCATGCACTAACACAATTTCACACTAACTACAGAACACTTAATTCAATACGAAACAGAGCCCTTTTCACAGAGCATCCAAAATGAAGTCACTAAACAGCTACCTGAAATACTTAATTCTGATTGGTCAGTCTTGACATATTGTGGTTGAATAATTTGGTATAATGACCAATAAAGAGCAATATCTCATCCCTGTGCTACTTTAATGTCTCTTGTATGACTACATGATCTTTTTCTTTGCACATAATAAAAAGATTTCCATTCATGTGAATTTCATGTGAATATACTTAATTATCTGGTAAGAAGAAAGGAGTAACAATCACTTTTTAATCATTTCAACTAGGGCTGCACAACTCAAAAATGCTATATAATATGTATCTATTTTTGCTTTTAAATACTATTTAATATAAGCTTTTGTTATATACATATACATTTGTGATATATATATATAAACAGTTGTGGTCAAAATTGACATACACTTTGCAGTATCTGCAAAATGTTAATTATTTTACCAAAATAAGAGGGATCATACAAAATGCATGTTGTTTTTTTATTTAGTACTGACCTGAATAAGATATTTCACATAAAAGACGTTTACATATAGTCCACAAGAGGAAAATAATAGTTGAATTTATAAAAATTATCACGTGAGAAAATGATTTACATACGCTTGATTCTTAATACTGTGTTGTTACCTGGATGATCCACAGGTTTTTTTTTCTTTTTTTTTTTCTTAGTTGTTCATGAGTCCCTTGTTTGTCCTGAACAGTTAAACTGCCTGCTGTTCTTCAGAAAAATCCTTCAGGTCCCACAAATTATTTTCCAGTATCTTTTGCATATTTGAACCCTTTCCAAGAATGACTGTATGATTTTGAGATCCATCTTTTCACACTGAGGACAACCAAGGGACTTACCTGCAACTATTATTTCTTTCTTGAGCATCAGTAAATGTTTTCACCTTTTGTAATTGTTATGTATGAGTCACTCAATTGTCCTCAGAGTGAAAAGATGGATTTCAAAATCATACAGTCACTGTTGGAAAGGGTTCAAATATGCAGAAGATTGAAGAAGATGAAGATATATATATATATATATATATATATATAGTAAAAAATATAAATACAAACAAGGAAAACTTTTTTTTTTTTAACTCATTAAAAAAAAACATCCAAAAAATGACGCTTGTTTGTTGTGGTTCTAGTTGTGTTCTATTTTCTTTTGTTGTACAAATTTAGTTCCACTGTACATTTTGAAGTATGCATCAAGCATGCATCTCACCCTCTTTTCCCAGCAGAAAGGAGTAGAAGCAGAGGTGATTTACAGACAGGTAGATCCAGCCCTGCCGCGGGACTCTGCCCTTCCAGTTGCTGCAGGGGTAATAGTTCACCAGCTTCTCTTCCTCCGGCATTCCGAACAACTTACGCATCTTCAGCTCGGCTTCACGGAACTTCCCAGGATCCTCGTCTTCCTGAGGTTTGCCACTTTTATTCTCTTCAGCAATGATGCCCTACAAAGAACAAGTTGAAGTTTGGGGTTGGTAAGATTTTTTTTTAATGTTTTTGAAAGAAGTCTTTTCTGCTCACCAATCCTGCATTAGTATTGAAAAGAGTTTATGTTGAAAATAGTTTTTGCTGCTCTGTATTTTTGTGGAAACAGAGATACATTTTATTTTTCAGGATTCTTTGATGAATATAAAGTTCAAAACAACAGCATTTATTTGAAATATAATTTTTTGTAATATTATAAAAGTCATTACTGTAACTTTTGATCAATTTAATGTTCCCTTGCTTAAAGTATTAATTTATTTAAAAACATATATACTTATATATATATATATATATATATATATGCATATATAGTTTATTTTGCCTCAAACTCCAGCATGAAAATGCAGTGCGATTCTCATATTCTGTACGTCAAAAAAGCAAGTACAACCAATATTCCCATTTCTCATCAGGATTATTTCCTTTTTTTTAATAAAAATGTTAAACTAGCAATGAACAAAAAGCAAGAGAGAGTTGTAATACTTATTCCAAGAAACATTTAGATCTAGATTACGATTTGAGGAGCTACTATAATTAACTATCTGTGAAGAAATTAATTAATCCTAATTTAATGGTTTCAATATGTCTCTTTACTTTATAAAAATGAAATCAAATCGCACCTGTATTTTGCCCTTGACGAAGGTGGTAATGTCATCGTCGTTGTCAAAGATGGACAGAGTCTGGAGTAGGTTTGTCTCGAGCCACTCCCAGTGTTCAGTGATCTCCTTACGAGATGAGCCTGAGACACACACACACCCATCCATCAGAATTAACCAGTGGTGTATAAAGTACCTGAAAGCCATACTCAAGTAAAAGTACAGATATCTTACCAGAAAATGACTTTGGTAGAAGTTGAAGTCACCGTTTAGAATATTACTTGAGTAAAAGTCTTAAAGTATGTGATATTTATTGTACTTAAGTACGAAAAGTATTTTTTAAAATCTTAAACATACTTAAGTATTGAAAGTAAAAGTACAAGTAAATGCAAAATAGAAAAGAAGCAAATAAATAGGCCTATATATAAAAAAATTTTCATACACGGCTTAAGTAGCAAGATTGTGTTCAGTTTTAACTCTTTGTTCCATTTAGCATTTTTGGGTAAGAATAAGGAGCACTTCATCCGGTACTTAGTGTCTTTCATTCCAACATAAGAAAACATTTCTGGAATCTGCATCTGAAATAGCATTTAGATGTATTTACACAGTTTAAGTATCTCAGAGGGGACATGGAATAATTATGTTTCTAGTTTCATGCTATCTATCTATCTATCTATTAGTGCTGTTAAATCGTTTAATCGCATCCAAAATAAATGTTTGTGTTGTTCCCATAACATATGTGTGCGTACTGTTTATATGTATATATAAATACACACACGTGTATATTTAAGAAATAAATGTAATATATATAACTATATGAATGTATATGTAAATAGTTCTTACATTTATACATGTATGTGTGTATTTATATAAACAGTACACATATAGGTGCTATGGAAACGCATGTGAACATCTTTCTCAAGAGGGAATAATATAAGATAATAAAGTAATATATTGCCATGACACACAAAACACAATGTATATTAATAATAATTATGTTTCTAGTTTCATGCTATCTATCTATCTATCTATTAGTGCTGTTAAATCGTTTAATCGCATCCAAAATAAATGTTTGTGTTGTTCCCATAACATAAAAAAAAAAACACTAATATGGTCTTTACATGCAGTGCACATTTATGGCCACTTTGTGGCAGTATTGTACGCTAAAAAAAGGTTCAAATGAAAATCAAATGAGGATTTGAAGGATATATAGATATTAAATAATATACCAATGTACTTAAAAAGAACATCTTGGTATTACCATCTGTACTGGTTACCTTTCTATCAAACAATGAGGAGACTATATTATTTAAAAAATAATAATAATATAAAAATCCAAATCTGTAGGCTATATTGAATGAATGAATGATTCAATAAATAAACAATCACCCAATTTTTCCAAGACAATTTAGTCCTGAATTTATGTATTTACTCCTTTTTTTAGGCATTTTCTGTAATCATATATCAGACTTAATCATTTCTACATTTCCAACTTGCATGTATTTTTGTATAAAACAGACAAACAGTAAATACTAAAAAACGTCCATGTTCTATTCAATTTTACTTTAACATTTCCATGAATTTTTTCAGGTCATGAAATATTACACAGATTTTCAGAACCGCACTCATAACGTCATGCACTGGAGCATATTTTTACGTAAAAAACATTTCCAGCCTACTTGTATAGAAAAGACCTCAAGCATCTTCAGAGCAAAGAGTATAATAATGAAAAATTCTTTTTGAAAAATTAATTACACCTCAGATATCAAAGATACATGAGCTCACTGTAAACATGTTCTCCTTCACTGACACCTGTAATGATCTCTGTGTCAGACTGAAGCACCAAAAACACCAGATCAAGAGCTCTCCTCCAGGCTTCAGACTTAACTGTCACGTTATCATACACACCAGCTCCATCTGCATCCCGTGATATGGCTTCTCCATCTTTATAAAGTCTCATCTGATGTGCAATAGCCGTCCAAGCCTCTGCTTTAGACGCCACCGACCCGCTGTTCAGCATCAAAGTGGAGACGTAATCCACCCAGGCTTCAGCCATCAGCTCCAGCACCACACTTTCCTGTGGGTTTTCCATGTCTGTCTGTTTAGACTGATGAAGCTGCTTGATGCAAAGGAGTTCGGTGGTTCCTGCGCCATGCAGCAACTTCCCATCTGTGAGCGCTTGGTGCAACCGATGAGCACAGCTCCAGAATTGATCCTCCAAGCTTTGTACTTTAGCAGATACAGAGCTGCTTATGACCGCCGTGACCAGAGACGTGCTTGCAGTCACAATGCTGACCGCGACTAAATAATTTTTTCCACTGAAATCTCTCCATGGACTGACTGTAACTCCCCGTCCCACGCAGTTCTCGTCAATCTGTGTGACGTATGAAACCGTGACGGCGCCTGTGCGTGTGCTGAAGTCACTCAAAACGCTGCTTTTAACACCTTCGACAACCAGGACGTTTGCCCCGAGAACTCGGTCTTTGAGTTTCACACCAGCCGTGCCGCTCACAAGCACAACATCTATGCTGAGTTCATGCAGTTTTCTTAATGCATCCTCAATCCAACGCTCTTCCGGACTCACGCTTGACATGTTAGCACGATCTGTGATGTGCACGACATTCGCTGGCCTGTTGAAACCCACGTGGCGATACTTCTCGCACAAATCGCCGTTCACCAAAGCGATATTTAACGCCTGACCCTGAAGGCGCCAAACCACAGAGGCGTGTTCGACTGACAGCAACGTGACAAAGCCATGTAACACACATGATTTCTCCTCAGACAGGCCTGGAATGAGGCACGTGACCAGCTTTTGAATATCCAAAGATCTGTTTTGTGCATCTTCTGTGATTTTGGATTGCACCTTGCATGCTTTTAAAACTAAACGCATGGAGGAGTCGCATCCGTGGCTGACGGCTTGCGCTATGCGACTTACGTCATTCAGAGCTGTTTGTGTGTTTTCAGTCTGTAAATTAAAGTGTCTGCTGTGTTTGAGTGTCAAGCTGAGATTCTGAGAGAGTTTAACATCCATGTTCTGCATCTCTGAGTCCTGGATTTCAGATTTAAGAGCTGAAGTAGGTTTGCGCTCCTTTAGTTTCTGGCAAGAAATGTCTTCCACACTTACAGCCGATTGTTTGCATACCTCCAAACACACCTCCAGTCCTTTCCTCATGGCTGTTTTGATATCCAACACAGTTATTCCTCTGTTTAGACACTCTAAAGCAACTCTACTCCAGACTCCAGCCAGAAACACCAGCGTGCCCGTCCCAGAGTGGAAGACCTTCTGCTGTGCCTGTACCATCTCTTGTAGCAGTTGTCCGACTGAGCCGTCCAGCTCGATATGCTCAAGCAGACGGGAACAGGAGCTGACCAACACCGCATCCCCAGCGTCTTCATCCTGGATGAACTTGGGCCGTTTGTTGGGGCCCAGAAAGCCACGTGTGGTGGCAGCTATGGCCTCTAACTGCTGGAGTCCGATGTGGCAGCGCTGAGCGACAGTGGCACTTCCAGACATCTGTGAATAAGGAATAATGAGATACTGGTTAGTTAATATTTACAAGAGTCTTTTAGCTGTGTGTCCTGATAGGGTTGGACTGCAGGCAGAAAGAAAAAACAATGCTAAATGCAAATAATAAAATGTAATTAACTATATAGAAAATTAATTAATTAATTAAAATAAATAAGTAAATAACAATTACCCAAGCCCATGAGTAAACCGACTTATAAGAATCTTTCTGTATGTCATAATAATGGTGGAGGTTATGCGGTCTTACTAGCAAATTAGCTTTTTTATGCAGGAAAAATAAAGCATTCAATCTGTCTGGGTATCATTTGGATCACATTTCAAGTCAAATTCGAGTCATATATCCTAACGCTGTCGTATACAATGACCAAATCAAACAGAGTCTACAAACCTTTACCGCTGAGCTGCATTGTTTACGTAGTGGGTCCATATTCTGAAATGCGCGTGCGCACTGCACTACCCTACGCATGCTAGCGCTGAGCGACAGTGGCACTTCCAGACATCTGTGAATAAGGAATAATGAGATACTGGTTAGTTAATATTTACAAGAGTCTTTTAGCTGTGTGTCCTGATAGGGTTGGACTGCAGGCAGAAAGAAAAAACAATGCTAAATGCAAATAATAAAATGTAATGAACTATATAGAAAATTAATTAATTAATTAAAATAAATAAGTAAATAACAATTACCCAAGCCCATGAGTAAACCGACTTATAAGAATCTTTCTGTATGTCATAATAATGGTGGAGGTTATGCGGTCTTACTAGCAAATTAGCTTTTTTATGCAGGAAAAATAAAGCATTCAATCTGTCTGGGTATCATTTGGATCACATTTCAAGTCAAATTCGAGTCATATATCCTAACGCTGTCGTATACAATGACCAAATCACAGAGCCTACAAACCTTTACCGCTGAGCTGCATTGTTTACGTAGAGGGTCCATATTCTGAAATGCGCGTGCGCACTGCACTACCCTACGCATGCTAGGGGTTCATTGCTATGATAAAGGCCCGGAGAAAACATCTAAACTAAATCTAAGAATTACTTAATCGTAAAATCCCATTTGAGTGACTAATCTTGCTCCTTACCTACTTCTAGCCAATGAATTTGCCATGACCCTTACAAGTGTAATCAGTGTTATCATTAACAGGAATTTTAATATACTTTTATTACTTTTACTTTTAATAGAATGTTATTACTTTTTAACACAAAAGTGAATCATTTATTGACCCAAATATCAAATATAAAAAAACTATTCTACATATACACAGGCATAATTTATATTTATCCTTAAATGTAATTTCATGCAATTAAAGGAATAGTTCACCCAAAAATTAAAATGTGCTATAAAAATTTACTCATCCTCTGGACATCCTAAATGCAGATCAGTGTGTTTCTTCATGGGAACAGATGTGGAGAAATGTAGCATTACATCACTTGCTCACCAATGGATCCTCTGCAGTGAATGGGTGCCGTCAGAATCAGAGTCCAAACAGCTGATAAAAACATCACAGTAATCCACAAGTAATCCACACGACTCCAGTCCATCAATTAACATCTTGTGAAGTGAAAAGTTGTGTGTTTGAAAGAAACAAATCCATTTTTAAAGGGATAGTTCACCCCATGATTTGCTCACCCTCAAGCCATCCTAGGTGACTTTCTTCTTTCAGACTAATACAATCAGAGTTATATTAAAAATGTCCTGGCTCTTCCAAGCTTTATAATGGCAGTGAATGGGGGTCGAGATTTTGAAGCCCAATAAAGTGCATCATAAATATCATAAAAAGTGCTCCACACGGCTCCGGGGGGTGAATAAAGGCCTTCTGAAGCGAAGTGATGCATTTGTGTAAGAAAAATATGCATATTTAAAACTTTATAGACCATAATCTCTAGCTTCCCCTAACTGCTGTACGCACATTCACAAGAGAGTGGCGTTCCAGCAGATGATGTACAGTAGGGCGTAGGCGCAGAATATGCTAGTCTCGCGAGAACCAAGCTAGAGATAACGGTTTATAAAGTTTAACCACGGTTTAATGGTATATAAACAAACCATTGTTTATTTGACTGTAGTGTTTTGCCTTGAGAGTTAAAGGTTTAAAAATGTTAATAATGTGAATCCATTAAAATACAGAATGTGTCCAAACACACTGGTACATACTGTATACTAACAGAGTAATTGACTTGTTGCCTTAGGTTGCTATGCGAGCTCTGGGGTTTGAGCCAAAGAAAGAAGAGATAAAAAAGATGATCGCTGATATTGATAAAGAAGGGTCAGGCGTAATCAGCTTCAATGATTTCCTTTCTATGATGACACAGAAAATGGTAAGTCTGCAAGCCGAATGATAACACAACCATTCAGACAACTATCTGGCCACAGTTGCAAACCGCAGGTATTTACATGGAAAATGACGTCAATAAAATATCAGAAAATAAATGCATGAAGATGACAAGGAATTTGTGGTGTTATTAGACAGCGAGACATTGAAAGAGTTGTTTACGGTTCCCAAGCAACCAAAAGCTCGAAAGTGGCTCGTCCAATCAGAATTTAAAATTGAAACTAACTATTTTATAAAGTCATTTATTTTTAACAATTTTAAATAATCAGAATTTTGTCATCAAATTCAAAATAAAAAGCAATCAAATGAGTTGAAATACCTCTTATTTGTAAAGTATTCAATAGATAATCCAAAAATAAGCTTGACCACATGGTTATGTAATATATAAAATGTTTATATTTTCAGCAAAAATACAAATCTTGATGCTGTATACCATAAGTGTGACATAAATTACTCATACAGTAATTTTGGTCATACTGTAAATATCATGAAAATATTAACAAAATGAACATGTAATGAACAGGAAAATAACAGTGTTAATGTTGCAACATTCATCGATTTTGAAAATACTTCAGTCTTAGCTGTAAAGCAGGTCTACAGAAGAAAATTGTGCCTTATCAAATATTTTTTATGAAGAATCTGAAATTTGGTATGTCGAGTTTAAAATAAAAAGAGAAAAGCAATCAAATGAAATGAAATACCATGTATTTGTAAACTATTTAATGCAATAATAGATTTGGAATATATAACAGTGTTATTTTAGTGTCTTTGATATACTATTATAGTTTTGATAAAACATTTTCAGTCTGTTTTTATTTTTTATATTTTATTTTTACCTCAGTCTGTTAAATATTTTTTATATTTTCTGTTTTCAATTTAATTTTAGTAAAATTTTTAGGAATTTTTGGTGCATTTTTGACTTTTCAGTAGTTTTTGTTTTGTATATACCAAAATAATATATATAAACAATATATATAATTTTTATAAATTTTATTTCAGTTTTAGTTTTAGTCATTTTAGTACACCAGGTTAAACTAAATTAAGATTAGAAATGTTGTCTTGGCAACTAGGTGAATTAATTTTTTTAATATATTTTATATTTAATTACATTTTTTTTCTTCAGGGTTTAAATTTTTTTAAAGTTTCAGTTTTAGTTAACTATAGTAACCAAATGTTTATTTGTTTAAATTTCCAGCAAAAATAAAAGTCTTGATGCCGTGATATAAAGTTCACAGTCCGTACTGTGATTTTGGTCATAATGCCCACTCCCACACTGAGTTTAGCTGTGTGTCATTTATCTTTAACAACAGAGTGAGAAGGACTCGAAAGAAGAAATCATGAAAGCTTTCAGGCTATTCGACGATGACTGCACCGGCAAAATCTCTTTCAAAAATCTCAAGCGAGTAGCTAAAGAGCTCGGGGAGAACCTCACGGACGAGGAGTTACAGGTGCGTCTGGTTCCAGATGTGGGGAAATACACAGAAAGAGGATGTTCCTGCGTGTGAAACCTCACAGATGAATCTGTGTCTCTCCTGAGAAAGTGGCTGGTTAGTCAGTGGGTAGTGGATGACATAAGATCAGATAAGATCCCTCATCACGGAGCAACAGCTGATACCGTTAGGAAACATTGCACTATAACAACATGTTTTTGACAATTGTTTTGTAACATGATTGTGTCTCGGTTTTTGTATTTTTTGGATCAGGAAATGATCGATGAGGCCGACAGAGACGGTGACGGAGAGATTAATGAGCAGGAGTTTCTGCGGATAATGAAAAAGACCAGTCTGTACTGAATCACTAAAGCTATTACATCTATAAGCCTCTTAAGTGTTGTCTTGTGTTGTTTTTGTTTTTTGTTTTTTTTAAAGGTTGTAAAAACATTTTAATCTATACATATTTTGTAAAGTATTAAATAAAAATGTATTTGCATGAGTTTTAAGGCTTAAAGTGGAAACCCTGCTACTAAGAACTAAATCCTTGGGTGTTTGGCCATAAAAACTTCATCTTCTTGGTCTTTGACATCATTTTTCTAATAAAATCACATAAAACACATTCATATAAAATTCAAATTATGTCTGAGATAAGGACTGTCCATTTTACACAGAAAGTAATGAGCCAAATAATTTTACAATAGGAATTAAAAATAAAAAAACTCTTGTAAGAGTGTATATGATAATCCATGCAGGTTTACCCATTGAGACTAATTTTTACAACAGTTTTATTATTATGATGATGATTATTACTTTCAAACTTTAACAGAACATTGCAGGCTAACGTGAAAATATAATACAATAAAATAGAGAAACTAAAAACAGCAAAGATAGATAGATAGAGGACCTCAGTATATAGGACTAGCTCTTTTTTAAAGACATCAATTATAAATGTGAAACAACTCTGTGTGTGCATGTGAGACCAATTTGCTGTAAAGCTGGTGCCTATGTTTGTAGATATGCACAGGGCCCAGTGCATAGGGCCCAAAGGTCGAGAGCGGCCAAGAATGACATTTTGCGATCACGACAACCCCCCCCATAGCAAAATCAGTGCAATAGGCCCAGAATTCCTAGCAACACCACAGATTTTAAGTATCATCCATGCATTGTGATTTAACCTAAAAATCCCTAACCCTGAAAAATAAGCAGTTGAAGCAGTAATGCTATTTTAAAATCTAAAAATGCTAATTCTGTTGTAGGCTTGGCCAATCTTGAAGACGTCCACGATTTACTTTTCAAATGAACTGTAGATACCTTCTGTAGAGTGTTTGTAGCTATATATTAGTCACTATATATTAGTCAGTATATTAGGTATTAGATCAGTGCATTTGGTCTTAAAGTGACAGCAGCCTTATAAACCTGCCAATGTTTGATAAACATTAAATGTTTATAAAAAGAAAAAGAGAAAATCAGCTCTTGACATTCATTTTTGTAGCTTTAATAAAAATCAATGTATATTTCATTTATACAGTGTTGTATTTTACATTTGATTACTTTATTCAATTTCTGTAGTATTTCTTACCTGAATACTACTGTTAGATACATACTTGAAAAATGTAAAGCACTGTTTACTTCATTTTGTTCTATTGTATTTATTTGTTCTATCGCTTGTAATTTGTTTCTTTGAGCTTAAGAACTTTTTACTTATATTAGTAGCCAACCAGTTTTACTTGCAAAATATAGTCTTAAAAACCAGCATGAAAAAGAATTGAGATAAGATTGTTGATCGTGATTCTTCCTGAAAAAATCATGATATGATATTTTTGCCATATTGCCCACTCCATTCTGTAGTTTCATATGCAGTATTATAATATATAAAAATTCACTTTATTTAACAACAACAGATGTCTATGGTGAGTCTGTTTAGAAGATAAATGTGTCTAAAGGCCTGTGAGAGCAGAAACATTAGAGACAGTGTACCACCAAGTATGACTCAACCGCTGTGATAGAAATTAATAATACTTAAATGAAATGACTGAACGCAAACCGTAATGACTAAGGCATCAGTAAAAGTGATTTTGCTCTTTATGTCTAAAAGTGAAGCCGCATTAGACACTGCACCACCTGACCCCTAATAGAGGCTGACGAAACGGCGACCAACTAAAGTGAGATTTTCCAGAAGTCACAAATAATTAAAAGTTCATAAACAGGATTTTAGTCACAGTTATTTTTCCAGGCTTTCAAAGGCGTTGGCGGATCTGCTTGCATCAAGCTGAAAGTTTGTTTACAAGTTTCAGACACTAAAAATTCTAAATGGAAAATAGGAAATGGTAAAGCGATTTGCGTCAAGGTGTCAAAATTTCATCGCTGTCTCCGTATCTGAAGGTCGGATTGCGCGGCATATGGGCGTTTGATAACAGGCCGAAATGTGTCAATCTGTAACCTTTTTTTTAGTGCAACGGATGTTTTTTTAGTTCCAAATAATCTACGTTAACTGCTTATTGACGGATTAAATGTTTTCTCTTAAAAGTATATGAATCACAAACAAGAAAGCAGCCCCAGACTGATGTACTTTTACTGAAATAAGAGCTGCAATGGTGTCTCAAGAATGTATTTTTTCCCAAAATTGTGAAACAGACCATTTGTTATTGTCTGCTTGAGACAAATCATTTCAATGAATCATCACAACTTTCAAACAAAACCTAGAAATCTATTCATACCCTGCATTTACAAAAAATACCAAATGTTTAAGAGACTGATACATGGCTTTTCTGAATAATATGTACCTTGTTTGAAAAAAGTAGAATATATGCCACTTTAAGTATTAATTATTAATGACTTTAAATATTTAATTTGGGGAATTTGTACGTTAATTGAGTACTACTGAAACTGAACACTTGTTTTAATTTATTTTACACTTCCAAGATAAAAATCATGTTTTACTCTTTACAATTTCATGTTGACCTTCAACCTCCCCTCTTATCTAAAAAAAAAGGAACAATAATAAAAAAAATGCATAGGTTTTACCTACAACAGTTGATAAATACATTTCATTGTATAAAAATGGTATTTCAACATTATGCCCTCATAAAAGTGTTATTTTTATTACAGTACCATATAAATATAATGTTATATGAAAATAGTACCAGTACCAACAAATAATGTACGATGGTAAAATGACAGTATCATATGATTTTACCATAGTGTCACTAAATGAATACTATATTCATAAACAATTGTATTTATATGATACATACAGTATGTCCAAAAAAACATGATATCACCATTGTGATTTTTTTGTAATCATTCAACACCATGATTCGGCCACAGTACTTGTTTTTATAAGTGCACTGGCCCCGTTTCCCCCCCAAATTAACTGTTGAATAACCTTTAAAACCACAAAAGTAAAGGCAGACTCTTCTCAGAAATCTCCCAGAGCAGTGCAAGCGTACCCTGCATGATCTTATGCCCCACTCTTATAGGAAAATTAGCTTTGAACTCACAAATAATACTCCCACATATGGGCCTCTGGACAGGAAATTGTGTTTTGTTTCCTCTAAATCACTGCGTTTTCATAACAACGTTGTTTTCAGAAGCGGCGATCTGTTAACCCCTAAATGCCAAGGAAATGTCACTGTTTCAGATATGATAAACATAGTGTTAATTGTGTGCGAGACCCCTTTAGTTTTCAGTCAGACTGCAAACCGATCAGACTGTAAAGAGCTCAGGCTCACGGCATCAACTGGTATGTAAACGTGACTATTTTGTTGCTTTCTGCTGTTTGTTTTGGCATGTTGTTGTGTAGAAATAGCATAGATTGAGTGTAAAAGGGTGAGTCAGTCACTGAAACGGATGTCTTAGCTGATCTGCTTAAGTTAATTTATTCAGTGCCATGTAGTGTATGTACTCTATATACAGTATGTGTTTGTACATGTTTATTCAGTTAAAATGTTAATTGCAGTTCTATATAATTCTGAATATTGATGCACTGATGTACCTGTGGTACACAGAAAGGGTGTGACTGCTTCACTGAAGCATTTGAGACTCTGAAAGTGGAATTACAGTACCTGAGAGAAAGAGCATCTACGTCACCTGTAGACATCAAATGTTTTTTTTTTAATCAATGACAGAAAAAAAGCAGCTTAGCTGGTCAGCCAGCTAAATCACTGCATTATTATTGCAACATTATTGCTTATGTAAACAACAGTTTTCTTTTAATTTGCATGATATCAAACCAAAAACTTTGTGATTTCTGGAGTGTATCTGTGTTTATGATTTTATTGATTATAGAAATTACTGCTTATTTGTTCAAACATAATTCATTTATTTAAATTAAATAATTTAATTTAATTGTTTATATTCATATCATAGTTCACATCTGGTGATGATACACAGGGCAACTTTTTGAGCAATGTTGCTGGGCAATGTTGCCATCAACGGGCAACCAGATGAGACACAGGGCCCACGACCGATCTAAAGTATCCAGATAGAAATTTGTTGTCCGTTCTCAATGGGAAAGTGCCCAAGCAACATCACTTGGCAACATTGCCCTGTGTATCATCAACTTAAGCCCTTTCATTGTAATATAGGTAACTTAGTAATGCAGATTCTAAAAATCTACATGATGACATATATTTACATTTACATTTAGTAATTTAGCAGATGCTTTTATCCAAAGCGACTTACAAATGAGGACAATAGAAGCAATCAAAATCAACAAAAGAGCAATGATATGCAAGTGCTATAACGAGTCTCAGTTAGCTACATACATATATTTTTGCTTTCACACACTTACATTCTCATTTTACATACATACATTTCTACTCTCTGTCACACACATACATTCTCCTTTCACATACATACATTTCTACTCTCTGTCACACATTCTCCTTTCACATACATACATTTCTACTGTCACACACATACATTCTCCTTACACATACATGCATTTGTACTCTTACACACATTCTCCTTACACATACATACATTTCTACCTGTTTTTGGTATATCCATTACTTCCTGTTTAAGCAGGCAGTCACTCTCAGACCAGGAAATACATGCGCAAGACTTGCTCAGCTCTTCCTCACAATTTTACAATGATGCTATTCAAAGTCATCCTGTTTTCTTTTCAAGTACATATTTGAAGTTTTTAATTTTAAAATATGATCATGTAACCTACGTGTTCTACAGATCTGTGTACAAGTGTTATGATGCTGATTTTGATCGTATTGACAAGGCTCAATGCTAAGGAAATTTTCTACTGGCCCAGTTTGGCCAGTGGTTTCAATTTTTTACTTGCCCTGGCAAAATTTTCATAGCTCTTGCCACAATCAATCAATAAATAAGACTTGCTGTTTTCATTGTTGACTGTAACATTGTATTGTAATAAATGATAACCATTTTGCACAAATAGGTACAATAGTTCAAA